TGCATGAGAAGCCAGAACCTCCCCAACCCACAAAATAATTTCAGAAGCATTAGAGAAAAACGCACCTTTTCTTGCAAAGCGCGCAAACATCGTCCAGGACGAATCACAAAGTGGGCCGAATCACAAAGTGGGCCGAATCACAAAGTGGTTCATTACCATTTGAATCTATTTGATGGGTCTTTCCCATGCTCAGTAGCCATCAAATGTTTTCCACGCATCGTCTGCAGAGTTTCTGCCTGAACTATCACAAAAAAAATTGAATAATGAACAGAACAGTTACAGTAATAAGATTTAATGACGAAATAGTTTTGCAAGGTTGAGTGTATATCAAAACCTACTTGCAGCAACGAGAGGCTGATTGCCAAACTGGGCCAAGGCCCGGCTGGAAAGTCTGTAAAGCCAAATGGTTTCGTTCCAAGCAATTGGCCTTCCCCTAGTCAGCTGAAAAGGTCCAAAGAGTCAGTGTCTTCAATCAGTTCAGACCAAACGCTTCAGATCGTGCTTTTCCGCGCGCGCGCGCCCTCCGTGCACTTCAAACCCCTCAAGGCTTCATTCCTTCAACATGTGCCAACCCCAATTCAAAACTTTATTAGAGAACCTCAGTCGTCCAAGCACACATCCGCGAACCTAAGGGTAGCACACATTGCTGTCTTTCACGCATGGCATGGCCAAGCCCCTGCGAGGCAGACACTGCAACCCAATAGGCTTATCACTGATAGCGTAGCAGCTGGCACGTGCCAGCAAGCAATCTTTCGGTGCTTATATTTGGATGGGTTCTCTTTGCACGCGCCATGACTGGGCACGCCATGACTGTTGCCTGCTGAGCTAATAATCCAAGTCCCGACTCGTGCCTGCCAACTCCCCCTGTGCCCGGTCAAGGAAAGCTCAGCCCAGCGGCTGCGGAGACAGCGCTGTGGTTTCAGCATGTTTTCCAGTTACAGTCATGCTTTGCCGTGGACATGTCGGTCAGCAAACTTTTGTGCAGACTGATGAACTTTCATCTGCAAGAGAGCTGGGGAAGTGATGCACAAAATGAATAAATTTGGATAAATGTAGTCAGTGAATGTGCAATAGATGCGGGAATCTGTGGGATGGGATCCTGTGCAACTAGTTGTTGGCTGTCCTTCTTAACGCTGTGATTCCACAACACTAGGGGGATACATGGATACCAATGGATACACCCCTCCAAAGCTCCCTAATCAGTGTTGCTCCCCCTCGACATTCCAAAACCAGGTCCGCTTTCCCTGGTGATCCCTGACAGAGAAACCGTGCCTTGGAAAGTGTGAATAATGCTCTTCCTTTGAGAGCTCCTTTCCTTAGGAAAGCTGTGCGCTTCCGACCAGTTGCTGGTCAGGGACTCCCAGTTGATCGTTCAAGACATACTCAGGCACTGGCCGCAAACATAGCACCAAAAAGTGTGCTTGCGGCAAATTGCAGACCTGCCAAGACTAGTGTCTGAAGGCAATGGTCGTCTGTATAAAAATCGACTGTATTGGTAAACGACTCTTCCACAAAATGAATGATGCACCCGATGCACGCTGAAAGCATTCAGCCCTTTGATTGCCCGAAGTGTAAGCAAGTGTCCAGCTAGTGCGAGGCAAAGTACAATCAATCCAATTCCGCCTGCATTGCATGAAGTTGCACCCTGACTCCCTTTCGGATGGTGCATTGCACCTGGAGGGGCGTGATCATGAAACAACATTGGCCAGAACCATTGACATACTGCGCTGCACCTGGGACAACGCCTCCATTGCTGCTGAGCCATGAGCTCCTGGATGCTGACATCATAGCAGGGTGGTCATTCTCCCCTCTAAAAAGGAAATGGGAATTATACTTAATTCATTACATTACAAATCTATTTCATATCTAGGGTTGCTCATGGAGCTTCAACACATTGCTTTTGGAGTGTATGGTAGGTCGCCCACAACATCCCACAACAGAATAGCAGGGAAGCGTCCTCAAAGCTTTCTTCGCTTTCTCGTTGCACCTGCGGGCTAACTCTTTTGACGGAGAATAAGATTCGCCCAAACCATGTTGGAGAAGGGTCTAAGTTTGGAGTCCACAGTAGCCTACGAACATTGTGCATGTTACTGAGCATAGCCACATTCAACCACACCGATGTCCCTGTCCTCACGCTGGGCCCGCCTTCAAGGATTCACAAGATACGCCCTCATGCTTCGCACCTCCACATCGGGTGCAAAAGTCCTGAACATCATCACTTGCTACAGTACTGTCTTATCAGTTTTGGGGCAGAATCTGCTTTCTGCATGCTTTAACAGAAAACCCACATTCTGACTGTAACAAAGGGGTATATATAGATATCTAGAACCAAAGCTGATGCTGATGGAAGTGAAGCGCATGTCCGTCCTGGCCACACCTGGGGCATCTCACAAAGTCGGTGTTCAACTCCACGAGAAACTTCCCACACTGACAGGTTCTCATTCTGGGCTTCTCACAGATTGTACACTGTACACCCTGACAAATCAATCCTTGCTTATTCCAGCTGCTCAAGCAGCACTTGCACCATGTGCCATGAGACGTGAACCGCGGAGTTCGTGCACACAGAGCACTGGTTGGAGTAAGTTTGCATGGCATTCCCACTGTGCCCGCCTGCTCAGAAGGGCACACTACAACTCGACCATCAGCCCCACATTCCCAGAGATCCATGCGAAACTGTGCCGCGAGGCAGGCTGCATTCGCATGACACGAGACGACCAAACAAAATGAGTATGTTCCAGCGACTTGCACCTCTGGACTCTAGAATGCTATCCCAAACCAATGGCAGCCTCCTGTATGCTTTTGATCAAATAATTGCGCATTGGCAGGGTAAGCAATTTCGCAAAGTTTATGCCAATTTCCCCAGAGCTGCTCTCGACACCTGCAGGAACTTCTCCCAGAGCGGTGTCAGCTTTGTGGCACCTTCCACCTGCGCCTAGGATGGCGAAACCGGCAACGTTATTACTGTTTCTCCAGTATTACTCTACTAGTGTTGTTTGTTTTTTGAAAGTTATGTTTACTGTAATTAGTAATTATTACTCTACTAGTGTTGGTTGTTTTTTGAAAGTTATATTTACTGTAATTGTAAAAATTTGGACCTGTCTTACACGTTGCTACTTAGAGCAAGCAATGTGCATGGCTTGCAGCATCAGCTGCGTTGGCTCGCCCTGTACATGATCATTGTTGCAGGTAATAGATGCATGATGATGAAGGAAATATGTTGGTTCAAAAATGTTCAAACAATAACCGAGGTTTTGAATGTGTAAACGCTGTTGGGCCTTCCCAACGCTGTGTAGGTTCAAGTCATGATAATAAATTGTTTGGGAATGTTTGGGTCATTCAATTGTTCCAATATGTTCCAATACAGCGGGGTGTTTGCTTCACTTTAGGGTCTGCACCTGGGCTGAAGCGCCACATGAGCTGGGCCGCTCCAATCCATTTCTTGTCATGAATAGCACAATTCTTTGTATGTCTTGGCGTACTCAGGGCGAAACCTGCTGAGAATTTGTCAAAATGTTGTTGGCATGATCGCCTTTCACACGGTTTTTCTTGCATCAAATTCTATCATTCATGTGGCTGTGAGGCAAAACCCGGAACGCAAGCAGAATCGACTCCCAAACATGAGCAGAATTGACAAACGAGGGATGTCAACCTTTTGATGCAATTGCAACAACCCAAGTGCTCCCAGCCCTGCAGTGCTTGTTGCGGCTTTGGGGGGGCCCGTCGCACATGCGTGGACGCCCTAAGCTGAGCACCACGGTGATTTCGGCACCGCAGCCAGGCAGTGGGCAAACGAGTTCGTCTGCAGCGACCTGACACCGAGGTCGCAAGGCGGTCAACATGGTCCAGTCCAAAGCCCCAAAGGTTGCGCGTTCAAGCGGTCTGAAGGTCTTAAAAGCACCTCTCAGACCTGTCAAAACTGGAAATAGCAAAGCTGCATACACAAGGGATCAACCCCACTCAAGCGTTGCGCGTTTTGAAGGTCAAAGTGTGTGAAAAATGATTAAAAATGCTGGTTCCACATCTGAAGGTCGTAGCTCCGACGTCCACGGAGGGTTCCCGACATGTTGTGGAGACTTGTCCAGACTCTGTTGCGACTCGAATGAAATCACGAATGGAACACGATAATGGTCACGGCAAACGGTCAAGAATTAGGAATTCGGCACATTCATCAAACGAGCACCACTTACACGTATGCTTTCCGATCCGGTTGCTCCCCAGAGAGGTCTGGTCACATCTACTCCCCCTTCATCTGTCCGATGTGTCAGTCCCACGCCACACCGGTCACCTGACCATCAACGATCTTGGCTGAGATGTAGTTTAAAAAGCATTCCTCACCTAGGCAAAACACTCCAAACCAACATCAGTACATAATGATGAATAATCTACAAGGTTGAAAGAATGACAAATCACTGAGATCTTGACAAAGTCGATGGTCACAGTCCAGTTGAATGGATCCGTCTAGATCTACCTGCATGGGCTTGGGCTGCCAAGATTCTTGCGAAAGCGGCTTGAAAGCCGCTGATTGAAAAATATTTGCTCTTTCGTCCAGCCTCTTCCAAGCAAAGGGGACACGAGAATCCCGTTGCCTTGACCTTGGAAGCCCCGGAAGTGCGAAGAGATGAATAGATTCATCCCAATTGACCTCGACGCTCTTCATTAGAACTCTCAAACCCATCCAACTATCTGTTACGATCCTCAGATTACATCTGAAACAAATGGAGTGGGGATTGACGGGATTGACCACGAATTCAACGGAAACGGACTTTATCCTTGATTGAGCCACGAAAAATGCCACGCCCGGCTGAAGCAAGACAATGCTTTCAAAATCTCAGATGCTGGCATAATCCTCCTGACTCAGGAACCCGGAATGGGGGCACCCAAGGCTCAAGACCAGCGAGGATGATGCATGCCCGGGACCCTGCTACTTCTAGTCAGGTGATGTCAGGTCATATCAGCTGGACAGTCAGCATTCAATATGCCCAACCCATGACGACCCTTTTTTCCTGCAAAAAAAAGATGCAAAAGGTACGTTATACATCTGGAACGCTGAGCTCCTGAAGAGCTACAAAGCTCCATGCTGAATTGGGCGAGATCGCCTAGTAATTGGTATATCTGATTATGTACAGAGATGCTGCAATACTCATCCTTCGGCATTCTCTTTGAAGAGATGCGAGCAATGAGCCTGGCCAATCGCCCAATTGACGGGTGGACCCTCGAACACACTAAGCGCGCATGCGGGTGTGCTGCGGAATCAGATTCCGAATAGTTTGGAACTTCTGTCTTTGTCAACCAGTTGCTTTGCTGCAAAGCTTGGGCATGTCCCATGATAGCGCCAATCAGGGTCCTGCAAGCACCATAGAACTGGTACCTTCCATATCCCAAGGGTTGTTTCTCACCAGTGTGGATTCATGATTTTATTTGTCCCAACTGTCTATGCATACAGTTTGCGTGATAGAAGCCTTCAACCACAGAAGGAGCCTGCTGAGATTCCTTCTCCAACCAGAAGGAGCGGTTGTCCAACATATTTTTGGTCGCTTCTTTCACCTCCAAACGGCAAGTCCACGGCTAAACACGGCAAGTTCATGGGTCTGTTCGTCTTAGGAGCCAAGTAGGAGACATCCGATGGCCAAACAAAAACAGTCGCTAAGCGACCGTTCGGTATTTTGACAACAAGGCTTTTCAGAGAATGCAAAAACTGCTTGAGTCATACAAGACTAGGATTCCACATGCAATTGTCAAAACATGTCAAACCATGGCATGGTGAAACGGTATGAAACCATCAAGCTTGAAGCACCGAAAATGAAGATGAAGGTGATACCGGTGCCTCCGGGATTAATTCAGCCAAAGGCGTGTAGTAGGGAGTGATCACGAAGTCAATGAAGCCTGTCGAGCGATGTTACATGGGGGCAATGGAGCATCCTTTTGCTCTAGAAAAACTCTTGCTCAACACGGTGTTTGCGTACAAATTATGACAACAAGCACATGCCTTCACCTGAACATCTCCTGCAGCACAGTCCGTGCCCTCCTGCTGGTCTACGTTGACTTTCCTTGTCTAACACAGTTTGTTACGAGGCAACTGGACAGCGGTGCCTAATTGCTGCTTCGGAATGGAGTCTTCTCCCGTGATTCGATCACACATCGGACTGACCTGCAGCAATGAAGCATTTTGGATCCATGCCAAACAAAATCCAACCAATTGAGTGACCAAATAATTTCTAGCTGGAAGTGGATGATTTTATATAATAGTCATCATATAGCTATCAATTCAATTAAATTCATATATTCTCGAAGTATCGGTCCATTCAAGTTGTCTTTCGTAGCTTTGCTAGATAGTAGCGTTGCTGGCTACCGTCCAATGCCTAGTCCAACTTTAATGTTGCAGATCTGAAGAAACACATCAATGAATCACAAATGGAAAGTGCAAAGAGTTGCTGATACTGATGCTTAACCAACGCATTAAACCTTACCATCTCAACCTTTCCTTGTCACAATCAAGAAGAGTTGGATCCCTCAAACAGAACTTTGTCAATTGTATGACTTGTATGCATCGTTTTTGTGCAGCATGCGGTGTTTCATCACTTTGGATCACACAGATCATGTAGAATCCCCAGCCTCGATGTTGAGTCGCATTTCTTCGTCACCCTGTGCCCAAAACTCCTCAATTACCTGGCCAAAAAAATCGCAGGTAGGAGTCACGTCCACTACCCGACCAGCTGGTGTGGTAGGGATCAACAACCACATACCGTTCTGGATAGGCAAACAAGCTTAGGTCTAACTGAAAAAAAGCATGCGCTCCCAATGACCAACGAACTAAGTGGGCCTGATGCCAAAATGGAACCAGTGGTTCCCAGGACAGTGGATTCTTTACAAAAGAAATGCATGCGCGTTTCCACAGGTATGGGTAATCCCAAGACCTACGGCAAGCATAGTGGTAAGGGGGATGCCAAAATCATGATAGCACCTTGCTGTCCAGACAAGTCTGTCAACTTTGGAGCAGGTTCATCGATTCTTGAAACTGGGATGATTTGAGATCCACAAAATCCATCAAAATCCTAGGTCACTCAGCCAGAGATACTCTTTGAGTCCAGTGCAGCATCATCTTTCTGGGCCTTGCGAAGGAGCTTGACATTGGGGAACGGAAGCTCTCAGGCTGCGGCGAACGACGGGTCCGTTCAAAAGTGTGAACGGACCGGCAAAAAAGGGGGTGGCTGCTTCTTGTTGCTAGTAGCGATGGCCTCCAACCTATTTGCGATGGCCTCCACCTGATAGCGTCCTGGCTACTAGTACAATTTGATGGAAGAACCTCTGTCTTGAACAGCCGGCCAACCAATGTGAGATCAACTCGCAGTGCAAGCGTCAACCAATGTCAGCTGAGCCCCGGACTTGCATGGGTTAGAGATGTCGGCAGCATGCATGATGGCCTCAAGAAATTCCATCTTGCTGGTCTCACCATTAGCCTGGCAAAGATCAAATGAAAAAGTTCACGTCTCATGTGTTCCACGGTGCTGTTGACAGTCTTGCTCCACATATTGAACATCACGTCAAATCTGCTGATCTGTAGACTGCGTAGAAAATGATTGAAACCGTCCGATTCAGAAAGCTGATGCGGACTCTGGGAGGAAAAGGCAAAACGTTGGTTTAGAGTTTGGATTAAGCAAATACTAGTACTAGCCTTGCTGGTTGTAAAGACCGAAAGTTCGCACAATATGGAGATGTTGGTCTGACCAGTGTTCGTTCTGCAGTCTTGCTACTGGTCGCCAAAGTTCAATTGAAGATTTTGCCAACTCCTACGATCAGCAAACCCGTGCTAACCCATGTAAATCACTGCAAATGCCTCGGCATTGTTTTGGTTTTGCACTGCCTCAGCCGTTCTCTCCCTTCATCAGCGTGGAATGTAACAGGTTTCCATTGGACGGGCTCGCATGGTCAGTCTTTGCCCAAAAGCGACTGTTCTGAAACCGGCTGGTCTGAGAACCCCACGGCAACGCGGCTAGCCAGAAATTTCTGGTGCTGGATGTGCTTGGCCATGTCTGTGCCCAAGACAATGTCAATGATTCCCCTGAACAAGTGGGTGCAGTCTGCGAGTGTCATGTGCATTGTGTCAATCCAGCTGTCTTGCAGCGATCCTAGATTGTGAGCAGTGGAGGCAACATGGCACGGCTTGTCCCAGAACTGCGCTCTAGAACATGCAAGAACTATAAGTCTATCAAAGACATATGCCATGAAAACCGATGCTCGAAGTTTGACTGAAATAGCATGCACATAAAATAGATAACAATAAACGAGTCGCAACACCGAACCAACCCTGATGCCATCGCTCTTGAAGGGACCCTCATTAGACCCCTACTACTCAATGGGACCCTCTTGAAGGGACCCTTATGGAGCCTTATCCTCGCGCGCGCGAAAAAACTCCTAGTAGCATCCTTGTTCCTAGTAGTAAGGCCAGGAACCCCTAGTAGCGTCCTCTTGTTCCTGCCTTCGGATGTACTGCTGCAAGTTCACAGCCTTGGATGCACTCTCTGGAAGGAAGTTCTGCTGCAAGTGGGCGAGCCAATTGTACTGCGCATCCTGGAACCACATGCAAATGCTCAAACGTTTGAGATCCAAGGACTCTCCCACTTACCACAAGGCATGTCCAGAATCCTCCAACTGCGCAAGGCACGTCATAGCGAGAAATCCGACCATTCCGCCCCGAAACTCGAACCGACTTCTCTTTTCTTGTTTCATCTCGCTTGCGACTCCAACAAATCGTCCTGCTGCATGACTTCGAAGGCGGATGCCACGTGCATATTCTCAAGAACGCTCTTGTCATTGTAGGTGATCGCCAATGGGCTCATGGTCTTCGTGTGAAAGAGATTGTTCCTGCCACCCAGGACTTTTACTCTGTCAAGGAGAAGCGACCAACCAAAATGCGGCATGGAAATACGATGGAATATGATGGCAATGGAATATATGTGTATACTTCCTGAATGGCACGTGCAAGTTTTGAAAAGCAAGCAAACCATATTTCATGCCACCCATGTAGAACAATGTGGGATGATCAGTCAGCACGTACCAATGCCAAACGAGACAGGCAACGAATACGCCGTCAGTGCACACAAACCAATTCTACCTACCGTCAGCACCGTGCGAAAGACCAAAGATTATATATGAGTGTAAACTGATTATATATCTATTTTTTGGGGGTGCACATTTAATTTGGGTTTGTCTATTTTTTCGTGTTTTTCAAAAAACATTGGGCTAGAGCAGGTTTTTAATTAGTACCTAGCTAATTATAGCAAAGTTTTTGCACCGGGGAGTTCACCTTAAAATATTGATTTCGTGGCAGGCGCGGGTGTCGGAGATGAAGTGCAGATTTCGTGGCGCGGGGGGGGCTGGGGGTGGCAGGGAATAATTGGTATAATGCGATTCGCGCTCGGGAACGATATTCTCAGCTTTTTCAAACAAGAAAACAATCAATCAATACAATGATACCCTAAAAGAAACACATAACTTTTGTGCTTCACCACTCCACGCCCTGCCATTAATCCCCTATTGGTTTTTGTCGATCGCTCATCATCGGATCCACATGTGCCCAACACCAATCGTTCCTCGGCACGCGAGCAAGTGGTGAAACATAATGTTATATATGGTACTTATTGTTGGGCCATATGAATTTAGAAGGTGTGCTTAAATTAACTTCAGTTGTCGCAAATACTCGAATCAAGTCGTGAAGACTAGATACCTCTATATCTTGAAGGATAGTGTGTGAGTATGGTGCGTCGTGCGCGCACATGTGAGCCCAGACCATTTCACTAGCCATCACATACGCAACTTAAACTGTTGCTATGTTCATCAGCAAGAACTGATCCATACCGCTTGGATTTTGGTGCGCCTGTGCACAACACCCACAAGCATGAGGACGCTTCATCCCACAAAAGGAACCACTGGCATGAATCTACACACGCGGATAATATATATATATATGTGCGAATTTTAATTATATGTTCATCTACAAATTTGGGCAGCACTTACGGCGCTTGAACGTCTTGATTTCCAAGGCACTGAAGGAGATGAGATGAGATATAGAGCGCAATGATGCGTGGCACTTATTGGAGTAATGTTTCCTTTTGCCCAAGGTGAAGTCTGTAAGCTGTGAACTTAGTCAATTCTCATATCGTACACATGATCAATCTATACGCAGGCGCATTGACCTGTTTTGCGCGCCTGCCCGGGTTACACCTTTACTGTCGTGTTTTATGCCACGCCGGCCTTTTGACGGCGGCTGGCTTCTTCTGTACATGCTGGGACACTGCAAGCGCTTCCGCCTTGCGCTCCTTTTCAACTGGTAAATCAGCTTTTGCGCGCTTTTGCCACGCAAGTGTCCTGCACCATATCCAGCCACGCCCTGCCACTCCAAAGGCCATTCCCAATGCGCCTTGCGAGAAGTTCATTTGGCAACATCTGCCGGGCAGTGGGCGAATATAAAGCTGAGTTATGGCACACCAGCTTTGCGAGCACAAGGATATCTAATTTCAGCTGAAGGGTGCTCTTGTGCAAGTGCTGCGTCTGCCGGAACCCTCCATTTATCTCAGCGTACAAGCTTTCGTTGCTAGTGGTTCGGTAAAAGCATCTGTTCAGCCGCAGACATTCGTGCCCTTGCGCGCGCATTGTTGAAGAGCCACCCCAAACGATCTGGCTGCGCAGCTTGCCATAAGAGATGATACACTGCCTTTCCCTCTTCGTTTTTCATCACTTCTGTTCGGTAAATGGCGCTCATAGCAACTAACCTTTCCACAAAACCGACATGGCTCACCCATACATCCATTTCATCCACAGAACTTAAAAGCTTTTTAGCTTTGGTTTGTGGCATCGAGCTACCCAAGATTTGCTGCTGCAGAGTTTGCTCATAGGCACTGACTGCCGGGCTGCATTCTCCAGTGTAAAAACTCTCCTTCTGGAGCAGCGCACTTCCATTCGAGAACTTTGCCAGGCAACGGCGCAAAGTGGCCGAGCCTGCAGTTCTCTTTCGGGCAGATGATGACTCGTAGCGCCTGGCCAAGTGGATAGGGTCCAACAGCAACGCTTCCAAATTCGGCAGAATCTCCTTCAGAATGCAAAAGAGCCGCCGGCTAGGAGCATCTGTGGCCACAAAACGAACTTGGTTGAGACACTCCTTGTCGATTCGCTGTTGTAGACCTGCAGCAATGTGGTCTGAGCCTTCCCCTGCCGCTGCGAAAATTGCTACCACTGCACCAGTCTTGCCTCTGACAGTGATAGCTCGCCTAACACTATCTTCATCAGAAAAGGCCGCGCCTGAGCTTTCTTGGGCGCATTGAACGGAACTTGCTCCAGAATGGTCAAGCAAACTCTGAACGTGCCATCAATCGAAGTTGCGGTGAACTCGTGATGCTCCTTGCACTCCTGTAACATTGCTGTGAATGAAACACATACATCCTCCACCAAAGGCCACCGTCGGGATGTATTGGACGGCAACAGGTTGGCCAGTGCAGAGCCACTGCGGACTGCCTCCAACATGAAGCGAGGCCAAATTGTCTTAACCTGTAGCAAGTCAGAAGGTTTCAGCTTGCTGTTCAAACTTGTCGAGATACACGAGCTGATTGAAACAAACAACCTTTAAAAAAGAAACACATCGACTCAAGCACTCTTTCAGACCAGCGCCTTCGCATGGTGCAAGATGATCTCTTGAAAAACTTGCTCTCCAAGCTCGTGCGCGTAGAAGATATTTCCTACGCGCCGGACGAACAGGTCTTTGCCAATTGTAGTCTGATTGACGTACCTGGGTCCTGGCATCAGAAGACATATTTGACTGCTTGGAATGTAATTTGCTTGGGTTCAGTTCTGGTGTGAAGATTGGAAGTGAATGCAACAGCGTGACGATTCTAATGAAAAATGCCGGCCCTAGTCCTGATGCATCGAGAACCAGGCGGATTTGTCCATTAATGCTATTGGCTGTGTGAGGCAGGCCAGGAACAACTTGTTTTCGAAGAAGATCTGCGCTTCTCTGCAAATAGTTGCCCAATCGATGCCCAGCAATCAATCATGTCAGAGTCGTGAATGGACAAAACGCACTTGATTTGCTTGGCTCCAGAGCAGCAATACTGGTTTCGTTCAGCGTGGTATGTCTTTAGGTGATCAGCTGTGGCTTCGGGCTTTGAAAGCAGCGCCACGGACAGCATGGGCATCGAAGCCCTGTATCTGTCTTTTCAAACTTCCCATCTTTTTTTTAATTTGAATTGAATTTTAATTTGATGTTTAAATGTTTTAAATATTAATTGATTCCGGGCTTTGGGGACCCCCCGGAATTTAACTTTTCTTTTTCAAATACTCAGCCTATTTAAACATATTTAAAACATGAAAAATATTGAATTGATTCCTGGATTTGGCAATTCCATTGGGAGTTCAATATTAACAGTTTCAATATTGAATTAAAACATTGAAACATACAAATCTATCAAAGATCATCAAAATCACATTATACGTACTATTCCCTCGTACGGGGTTGGGGGGGGGGCAGCGCTCCCCCAGCAGCACACCAGATCCAAAGGTGAGCCTTGCTTGCTTGCTTGCTTCCTTGCTTCCTTCCTTCCTTGTTTGGTTTCTTCTTTGCAAAGCAAACAAACGGACAAGCAAAAACAAAAAGAGAAAGGAGAACAGCTGCCAGCTGCCAAAGCAGAAAAGCAACAAAAGCAAAAAGGCAGCAGATGCAGAAAAGCCGCAAAAGCAGAAAAGCAACAAAAGCAGCAGAAGCAGAAAAGCAACAAAAGCAGAAAAACGCAAAAAAAAACGCACCTCCTTATTTATGTAGCTCAAAATAGAGTGACTAACACAAGATCGTAGCATCTGCTGTGCCAACTACAGCACTGATGCAGTAGAAACCACGTTGTATTATATATGTATAATAATTGTATATTACATAAACCATCATAAAGCTTTTAGTGTGCACCATACCACTTCTTGTCTTCTCGCTTTGTTTATATTGATTTTGCCGTCTTTCATGCAAATACGGCGTTACATATGTCGTTCTAGTGCAGTGACACAAGGAAACTCGGCGTATGTAGCTCCGACCATACAAGCAGAGCATAAAGCTTCCACAATTCCCCTTCCGCTTTTGGTCCTGGAGCTTATCATTCTTGTTATCATGTGCGCTGTCATGAGTTTGGTATGGCTTCATAGATGACATCCCGTATTGGGCGTACTCCCAAGAACTAGCGACCTGCCATTGTGTCCAACATCATGGATGGCACAGGCGATCAGAACCTCGGTGAAAAGCCGTTGAGCCACGATGCGAACAGTAACCTCTCTCCCGGCTCTGAGTGCAAGTCCGAGAGCGGTGGGGGTGGAAGGGTGGAAGCCATTCATGGGGGAGTCAGTTGCCCATCCGTTCGAATCACATCGAAGGACAGGCTGGTCAACACACTCAACGGAGCGCGATTCAACTCAGCTCGACACCATCACGTGATCCAACTCGGAGACCTCTCAATGGGCCGTCGCCCGTTTGCTCAAATAGGTCAAAGTCGAACGAATGCGGCATGTTATTAGCCTTATGGCCTCAAAATGCCTTATATATAGTGCCTTATATACAATACACGTGAGTTCTTTTGATTTAAGATCATTTACAGTAGTATATTACTTTGGAATGATTTTTTGCAATGTTAGTGTCATGAAATTTACTGATATTACTTGCCTGCGACTAGGCTAGCAAATACAACTCTGTTGCCAAATTTGACCTTGGATAATTTAGTCGCTCGGGCAACTTGGAGGGTCACCGTCTTTCAGTTCAGGTCAGAGGACCCATCAGAGCAAGATGTTTCAAAAAGAAGAGCTCCCAGGACCGAGCATGTGTCAGATCATGTCATATCCTTATCATTGTGTCCCGTGCTTCTTGAGTTTCGGAGGTGCAAAGCATTGGTAGACAGTTGTACAACATGTGCCTCGGAAGCTAGCGTCGGCGCCCGAAGAAACCACTCCTAGAAGATGCGGAGAAAAGATTGAAAGCTGGCACTTCCATCTAATTGTGCTGATGTATTCATGAGTTTGATTCTGAAAGTTAGAATTGTCAAGCCACACTTCGCCAGAGTATGCTGGACGAAAAAATGCCAAGTGTCCGTGGTCATCATCACATCTGCAGCATGGAGGGCTGTATGGTACGGTATCTGTGGGCAATACATCTCTTCTATTCTGCCCAAGAAGGTGAAGAGCGATTGGTTGAAATCGACCTGAAGAGCGATTGCTGCCGCCGGCGTTTCTTCCCGGCCCATGCGACATGTCTTGTTCTTTTCGAAGACATGCGTCGTTCTCTCTCGTTGATTGGAGAAAGTCAACGGACGAAAGCAAACATTAGCCAGGACCCAAGGACCTATCAATACACTGTCTAGCGTTATCTCAGCAATGTCGACCGATTGCGTGTTCAACACGACTTGAATGATCTTGAATGTGACTGTTGCAAAGGACCTCAGGGTTCTCCCAGTCTAGGTTCCGCATCTCCAAGAGTCAAACTGGGATGGTCTAGCTTCGACCCCACACCCGCGGCCTCGGAGACGAGATTGCCCTGCTGGTCCAACTTTTCCAGCAATGCATCCTGCTTCACCGCGGTCTTGAATAAAACCTGCCAGGTATTGAACGCTAGTTTTCTCCAGACAAAGGATTATATAGTACATTTATCACACATTCATTCGTTCATATTCGTTCTAATTCCATCTCTTCAGAAGCAGAATCAGAAGAATCCCTTGAAGCTTAGCTTCTGATGGCCAAACCAATCACATCGACTGCTGACCAGAGAGGTGCTCTGTACGGTCTTGATGAGTGGAAGCCAAGCGAAAACACAAAAGGATTGCAAACTAAAGACAGGCAAAGAAACACATCTTCAGAAAGGCCGGAAAAAATGGCACAGGTGACTGACTGAAGAAGAGTGTAATTACATGAGGGTCGACGGGTGAACACCATTACAAGCCGAACCCTTCCGGCCCCTCCCGGTGGCCTGCAAAAGATGTCCTTTCATTCCGGGCACTTCTCCACATGCCACAGTATTGAAGTCGAGCATCCCTGCTCGCTCTAGCAAGTCAGCAGCCTGCGACTGGTTACTTGCGACTGGTTACTCTCTGAACAAAGATCGAACTGGTTGTCTTGATATCCTGTGATTGTTCATATCTACACCTGGCATCCCCTAGCTGATCACTTTTGCAGCTCCAGTTTTGACCTGCTCATGCTTGATGACCCCAACTACACCACAGCTTCCAAGGCGCCCTCTTTCTGCACAACGGCTTTCCAAATCGAAAAATTACGACACAAGGTCACAAGGTCTACATATCACAATCTGCCCGGGTGGTTGAAACAGTTCCAGTTCCAGTGGGGAACACTATGCCACTATGCATGCTGAAGTACAAAAAAAATACTAAAGTAACAAGAAGCTACTAGGAACAAGTGCCACGCTAGTAGTAACAAGTGCCTTACTAGTAGTAACAAGAATAAAGTACTCAACCTTAGACCAGAAATTTGACCCATGACAAAGTCCACAAGGATGGACTGAAAATGGCTTCGTTGAAGAAAAGACAAGCTGTCAGGATATCCTGAGAGAGTCCTTGGGGGATATCTTGTTTTCATGACAGAGTCCTTGAGGACCTTCTTGGCTTGGTAATCTCCGATTTTGGACCTTCCACCAGCCCAGGGGCACAAGCACAGTGATTCGCCAGTTGAAAACAGGTGCTTTGGCTGCACGTGTCGGAAGTGCCGAAGGTGAGCCATGTCCAAATAGGACACCCTTTAGACTGATCAATGACTCAGGGACTTTGGACAGGTTGTAGTCCCAATATGTCCCAATTAGAAGCATAGAGGATGATGCTGCTGCTCAAATGGCCTGACTAAAGTGGCCTATTCCATGCGTTTGACTCGGCTCAGCTGGTCACATTCCTTTTCTAGAGTCGCCGTCCTTCCAGTTATCGTTCTTGCAGTCAACATACCATCCCTTGAAGATCGAGCACTGCTTGGTCAGACTCATCCAGGCCGAGAAGAGAAGATTTCAGATTGTGCGTTCCTCTTGCAAGAGCCACCCAAAAGGAGTCTGCTTGCAACTGATGATACCTCCTGTCGGTGGGCTTCGTGCCGAAGTTGCATTGCTTTCCAAACGATTGGGTTCTTGTTGAACATGCAGGGCCAGCGGCTGTTGTCATCTTGATCCTTGGTGTCTGCGTTGGTCTCAGGACCATAGACCCCTCCATTGGAGTCAAGTAGAATGTCATCCTGACCGACTCTCAAAGACATGGCACCATGCGGCATGGTCCATGCCCCAAAATTTGGCGGAACCGACAAAATGTGGCTTCACACTGGCCTGGTCCGCTGTTCAAAGGAGATAAAGGAGTGCTGTTTCTCATCCATCAACCCCATTATCCAGGAAAGAACATCAAATAATGACCTGGAACTGGGAGCAAGAGTTACATATTTGTAAACTTTGATGCGAAGAAATGCTACCAGAGATCGTGACCTGCACATCACCTCACCTTGAACTTGGTAATTACATGCTGTGCACGACCAATCGGGAATGTTGGTATCATAGCCAGGGCCATAGTGTATAGTTGAGACCACATGACTTGGCCTCTTCAACACCTACACTACATGACATGGATTGACGGCCCAGTAACCTGGCCCACAGAAACGCGTCTTGGCCGCTATGGCCTCTTCTTCGAGGTGCTTCAACGTCGGCTCTTTGGCCACACTGCTTTCCTGCAAAAGGCAGCAGCGGAACCGCTGCAAAAGGCTTCCGCGTGAAACTCATAGGATCATTGGCTCAATCTCGTGCACGAGGTGCTAAGGATCGTTAAGTTGCTCTTGAACCAAATAAGACTGAGCTTGATGTTGTGTAGCAATATGCCACAAAATCATAAGCTGACCCCCAACTTTGTCCACGTGCACTACTGCCACTACGGCCTTCTTGTGATAAGCACTCCATGATATGCTACTGGCTAGTGAACATTGATTTCGAACATACTTGAACCTGTGTCAATGCCCAGCATGCCCAGCTCCTCCTCAGCTGCCCTCCTTATACAATCACACAATGGAAATGCTTGGAACTTGGAAGGTGGCATCTGTCAAGTCAATCACTACATTCTTGTGCCAATATGCACAAACTAATGTTGCGTTAACTGCAAGCACCGATTGATGCATGCATGCTGCCTCAGCACAAGAAGCCATACTACACAATTCACAAACTTCATCTCATCCCTTTGTTCCAACTGCTCAGGCCAGTACGCTGATATCCTTGGAGACATCACTTCCGACACACTGCTTCTTCTGGAGGTTGGTGCTTCATGGTTTGCCTTTGGGTGTGGATATTTGGGTGTGGTTGAGCAAAGGGCATCGCTACTAGGAACAAGAAGCTACTAGGATCAAAGGGGGGTTGCTCCAAGAATGCTTGCTCCAAGGCTAAAGGGGATGGAGCCCGTCTCAGATGAAGCATTGAGGACCAACCACGACGTAGATCTCAAAGTTTAAATTGGCATGCAACAGGCAAGGATTGATTTCCTCCAGGGCAGATTGGGTACCTGTGATCCATGTTGGAGACATCAACTCAGCGCAGCCGACTTGATTGGTGACGCAGCCTCCGTGAAGGTTTCCACAAGCCAGCGCCGTGATAAGGAGACAGACTTGGTCTTTCCAATCTGCACCGCTGCAAGGTGCAGTCAACCGGTTGGGTGTCAAAAAGAACATCCATGTTGGCTGGTTGATCAGCACCTGTAATCGTCTCAATTTCGAGGGCACTTATTTGGCTTGATCAGTTTGATGCATATGTCGCTCCCCAAACGTTGCAAAGCTTTCTCAGTGGATGGTTATGCTGCTACGCTTCCATACTATCCATCTTTATCATTCCCCATCAATCAAAACACATGGATTTTCCTAGTTTCCTCAACAGTAGTTATATATTCGCTTTTGGGTCAGACCTAGAGTTTCACGCCCTGTCATTCACAACACTTAGACACACTTCAGAGCTGTTGTGAACCTGAACAGAATCAAAGGCAAGCCTTATGCAGTTCATGCATAAGGCTTGCCATCCTTCCTTATTCCACGTCACTTCCGATCCAGGCCTGGATTTCTTCTCTCAGCTCCTGGTGCTGTTGCCAAAAGGAACAGGAATCCCCATGGTCGAAAGGAAAATCATGTGCCCTTAAATGCAAAGACATTTGTCTTGCTCTGTTGTCAACTGTCATGTTGAAACTAAGTTGCTTTCCATTACTGTCCTGCCATACCAGTAAGGCTTATGATATGAGGAAAATCGTCACACTGGTCCTCTAAGGAGCTCTTCTCATGCTCCAGGCTCGGCCTGGAGATGACCCAGCTGACGCCAGGGCTGAGTCTTTTCTTGTCCTTCTTTCTCGCTGTTATAGTTCTTGTCCTTCTTTGTCTCTGTTCTTGTTCTTCTTTCGTTCGTTCGTTCTTTCTTTCTTTCTCTCTGTCTTTCTCTCGTAACCCCGAAACGGTCCCCGAATTCCCCCGTGTGGCACCGCGTGCCATGGCCTTCGTGGCCTCTGTAGTTGGGCGAGATCCACCTCGATGGCTCTGAGTCTCCGGAGCGACTCCTGGGATGACTCGAAGGCACAACTACATGACAAGACCGTTCCCTGTCCCCTCTGTATTATGTTCGCTAGTAGGTTGGAGGCCATCGCTTTTAGGCCCAAGATGGCCAAAGTATCTTTCTATATACTGTATCTTCCTGTGATCTTTCACCTCAAGCGTTCTATAGTTCTATTCTTCTCGACCTGTTTTTGTTCATCCTTCTTGTGTGTGCCTACAGGATCTTGTTCCGAAAAATGGGTGGATCCAATTGACTGCTTCTGCAGGGCGTCAGATTGTCAAATATTCAGAAGGGCTCCATCTCAATCTTGAGAAACAACACGCTGCAATTGTTGGTCCGAGGATTACAGTTCTTTTCGATCAAAGACGAAGGAAAAACATCTACGGCACGGGATGTACTCTTTGAGAGAAAAAAGCTCGCGCCGTGAGCTGCAGATCTCCTCCATCTCTCTTCGACAGGCTCGTGACGTCCACCAACTATCTAAAACTTGCTGCATGCTCCGACGGAGAGCCTCGAGGGAACCTTGGGCCACACAGAGAGCAAAATCCTTCGTCCAGATCCCTGACACCAAATGTCGTGATTCTTCGTGTCATGAACAAATGCCTTTCGTGTCGGCACAAGGAACTCAGGGGACGCATCGGAAGCCGAAAACAAGCCCTGCGAATCAAAAAGAAACCCAACTTCATGTCCGAAAGCATGCTAAGTTCAAATCTTCACCAACCTGAACCCCAAACCCTCAGCCAAAGCTTGGCAAATGCTTCTTCACGTCAAGCCACCTCTTATTCCATCACCAGGTGATGATCCTGATGTTGAGTCGGCCCTCTCAGCCTTCGATGTTCATGGGTGTGGCGGTCGGCGTCGCAGTACAAAAAGGCTCTCCAAGGAACAAACAAAAATGAGTGGTTCTGAGGATGCTGCGTTTGACTTGATTCTTGGGGACTACAACAATTTGGCAAGTTGATGGCAGCCCACGCAAAAACTGGCCATGTTGATGGGATACACAGTGGTTTCCCAAGTTGAGGCGTTCTTATCCCTCTTGGCCCAATCAGACACAAAATGTTGCACATGCCAAACTTCCGATTTCAGATACAAGAGCTCAAAATGTGCTCAAATGGCCACAGGATTGTAAAGCGTTGTTTTGGGGGTCCAAGGTGGTCAGACTGTGCAAAATACATGAGGATGATTAGAACTGTGCTTGCAAAATCATTCCAGCCTGGCTTGCAGCTGATAAAAGACCTTCTCTCTCCTCTCTCCTTGCTGGCGGAAGAAATAAGATGACAATCGTCTTGCTCAATCCACATGAATGAAAAGCATGTTTCCTTTAACTTTAGGCTTGAGGCCTTCCACCGCAGTGTTTACCATCGTCTACCACCTGCCTATCCTATCCCCATGCGTGGCCAACTTACCTGGTGCCTATCCCAGAAACCGGTCCTTGGTGTATCGCAGGTGTCTGCATCCTGCCTCATGGGTCAGGTTAAATTGGTTGAACTGATCATTGCTGAGCCTTGAACAAAATAACTCAAACAAGTAGGGCCCTGTGGGAGAAACTGGCTGCTAGAGAGGTGATGCAGGGACGATGATGAAGGCACTGTCTTGGTGTGGCATTCAGATTGCACAGGAGCTTCTCAACTCTCACTGGCAACTTGGCAACTCTTTTTTTGGCTGGGAGCGTCATGGTTGAGCAAGTCAGGTCGCAGGTCTCACTTCTTCTTGAGGCTCTTCTTTACTTCCTTCCAGAAGCTGGGCTGGCAGGGCTATAATATTCGATGGTCTTGGAAAAAGCTTGGTTGGCAAAACTGGAGAACCAGTCTTGCCGTGCATTCCCATTCTCTCAACACACCCGTGAACGTCCTTGGATCGCTTCTGCTTGGCACACATCACCTTGAATCGCTCAAAGTCAGTCATGTTCTTGCGCGCTTCCTGGAATACCAAACCAGGATCCAGAAGAAGCCTACCGAAGGTGATAACTGATAGGTTGGAAAATATGTTGCAAACGTGTCTAATACATTCTATACAATACTAGGTTGATTGACAAAAATGCAAACATTCGCAAGTGCACAAAGAAGATTCCAGGAGATTACTTCACGCGTCAGTCCTGGGTCTTCAGCTTCTTTCCCCAGGAGCTCTCCCAAAACTTATTCAAGTTGCCACTCTTCTCCAGGCCCTTCCTCAGCACCTGGTGGGTTTAGGCTGCCCCTAGGAATCACGAATTCATGAGTGGGGGTTACATTGGTCTACATGGGTGTCGCTGGTGTCCCCAAAGAATCATCGTTCTCGTTGTCCCACTGTCTAAGCTGGTAAGCGGTATATTGCAAGCCCCTGTTGTGAATTTCAGTCAAAGACTTCACCAGTGCTTTGTTGGGTGTCACGTAATTTGTCACGTTTCAGTTTCTATCTGGTTGCGAGATGCTATCATTCAAACGGAAGTTGGAACCTTTCGTAAGACTCTGTGCCCAGAGCCTTCTCACGAATGCCTCTCTTGGCAACGAACCTGCAAAGCCAGCAGCAACATAGACACAGATCGACGTCCGATGCAATGCCTTGATGCCCAATTCACCGATACTTCCTGCTACCAACACTCCTGATTTTCTGTACAAGTAGATCGCAAAAACCGACAGAGTGAAGGTTAGGTTAGAATCTGATGGCTACGGATAGCAGTTTGGAATTCAGCAGCGGTCAAGCTCAACACACTCGCCTGAAGTCTGTGAGGCTCAGGCGCTTGATGGGCATCATGTGTCGTCGCACACCGGTGATATCCTGCAAACGGGCAGCTTGGATTGGCTGAAGCCTTGACATGCGTACACCCTTTAATACCTTTCTATGCGTTAATTTCCCTTCTATACCCTTGGGTGTAGACCTCATGGACTAGAACACGAGGCCATGGCCGGATGGCTCAAATAGGGTAATTTCACGCCATGGCTCAGCCCTTACGTGGTGGACTAGTTAAATTAAGCCAAAGAAACCCCATAGGAGTTCAACCCGCCTCGGGTCCATCAACAACCTCAGCCATTTGAGTGTCAGGAATGGATCGGCTTGAGAACGCAACTCTCAGTGAGATCTCTTGCAACCTTTTGAGCTCGTGGCAACTCTCTTTTGATCCACGATGTCCGTGACGGTGCACAGCTTGCCCTCAGATATGCACTGCATCACTGTGCAGTACATGGCCACAATTGAAAGTGTGCCTTGCCGTGTGGCGATGTCTGGGCTCCAGACCGCGCAAGGGCCATAGGTGATCAAAGCCAATCGGCCGGGCTCCACAAAGCGCTTGAACATCGACATGGCTGATGGTGCTCGGTGCTATCTGCGCACTGGTTCTCGAAGCTCCACTAACCGCTGTGAGCCAGAGTTGTTGAAAGCTAGTTTCAAACTGCAAGAAAAAAACAGAAGACGATCTTGAGTTCGCAGTTCCATCCAGGTCCTAAATGATCCTAACGTCCCAGTTCAAAACGCACCGGCCGAGAAGGTCTCGGAGTCGAACATGGATCCGTTCAGCTCAGTCTTAGGCTGGCTTGAGTTCATCCCTGCAGCAGCCTCCCGAGATTCAAGACCTGAGCTGTCGTGCATTTTGCCATATCAAACTTGAAAGTAAAATAAAGTACAGTAAATATTGCTGGTTAGCTACTTCAGATGCAAGGTTAGCATGTTCAACCGTTCAACCACTCTGTCCACTCTCAGCCTAAACGTGTCCGTAAGACAGCTGGACAAATTTAAACAAATCAAATACTGTTTTAGGTAGCCCAAGGGAGCCCATTCTTGTAGCAAGACATGCAGCCGACAAACTGCTGATAGGCTTCTGACGCCTTTTCTGCAGGAGCACTCAGTTCTCCGAATAAATAAGGGCTCGAGCCCATCAGCTGAGGATCGTGAGCTCAGGCGAACAACGAAGTAGGTGGAATATGTGAAGAAAAGAATGCTCTCAGAATCCCAGAAGTGAAAGCCAAGACAGTGAAAAGATCACCTACAAACCACATGAATAGTGCGAGCGCTTCTTCAAGGAAGCTTCCCCCGCCGCCTTTATCCCAAAGCGACCCTCCTTCTGCTCCCATCGGACTCGGACCGGTCGTCCTTTAAAGCCATGGGGATCTCCACGGACTTGGGCGGCAAAGGGGGGTTCCGCACCTGCGGTGCGAAGGCACAAGCACGAGCGTACATTGCTTGGGCAAGGCACATGAACACATGAACATATGAACATCACGCGGAGCTTTGTTGATCCATCTGCCTCGGGGTGCCCTGAAAATTCAGATTTGTAGGGATTACTGTTCTTTGGCCTCACCTTCAAGACTGTACATTGGACACAAACTGACAATGGGCCACAATACAGGAATGCTGCTGAAGGCTGAAGGAATTGAAACCAGCTGCAACATTTATGCAGCGATGTGTGCAATCTGAGTGATAATGATAGTGATAGCCCGCAAAATGACTTTCTCACGGCATATTCACTGTTAATCTGTTTTGCAATCTCTGCAACACGGAGTTGTGGCGAGCCTTGTGGGGTGGTGCAACAGGTTGTACGTTCAGGATGTAGGCAGATCTCTGGGAATCCCATCCCACCACTTGCGCTGGAATCCACAGCTGGTAGGAGCTACTGGCAGAAGGCAAGCAAAGAGGGTGAGTCAGCAAGGAGTCGAGGAAAGGAAAACGGTCCTGACGGCCATGGGGCCTAATCGGATGTTTCCTAGAGTACCTGGGACATATATCTTACCAGTACAAAGCCAGTCACTTGCTTGCTCGGTTCTCCGGCTTGCTTGGCTTCCTTGAATCAACCAAAAATACAGGCTTAACCGACGTTGTGCATGACGGAGTTCCGCCACTTCATGGCCAAAGTCTCAGCTCCAGGGCACATCTCGTTTCACATGGAGCATGTTCCATGGGATCAAATTCACCAACCACGCGTCTCGAGCCTCAACACAAACCCTGTGGCCTGAAGTATTCCACCAAATCGCCTGTCACAAAGCGCGCCTCGAGGCACGGTGCAAGTGTCATAGCTTCTCTGGGCGGGGGCGGGCAAACGGCCGCCCACAAACGTTGACGTTACCAAAGCACACTCGACACTCAAACTACACTCGAGCAGCCATCGAACCGTTATCGTGGTGTGTTCGGGTGCCTCTCGATGGGCCGAGTTGATTTTTTTCAAGGTTTTTTGGCGTTTGAGTTAGATCTATAGCTCGGTGGCCACTCGAAACATACTCGATTGTATTCTAAGAAAATACACTCGAATCCTATTTCACAGAATATGACCTCAAATGATGTTTTTGTCCAGCACGGCTCAATTTCCAAGAAAACCGCTCAAACTCCACTCGATGGATCGCAATGGGAAAAAAATGAAAAAAAACCTCACCAGGAACTCGAACGCGTGGAGCGCGTGGGTGACACACCATGGTTTCCACTTTGACCACTCAAACAACACTCAAACACCACTCAAACACCACTCACACTACTCTCAAACCCTAACCAAAAAACACTCGAACCTCACACCAACGATTAAAAACCTTTTCAAACCAGTCCACACAGTGTTGTTTGCAGAACCAACAACCCAATGTCAGCTAGTCTTTCTTGTCGACCACCACCACCCCACCAAAAAAAATAAACACATCTAAAAACTCGAGCACATGACATAGGCAGAGGTGACCATCCAAACCCATTCAAACCCCATTGTGAAGGGCAAACACAATCGTACAGCGCCTGCTGCAAACTCAGCATCCTTTGCTCCCCTCTGCGGAATGTGCGCACTATGTCGCAAGTGACACGGAATGGTATTCAAAGCTCATATGTGAGCTGCGCTTTGTTTGTCCACACGCTCACACGTTCATTGATCCTTCGTCTTCTGTGTTTTCTGACCATTCCCTTTGGAACGCTTGAGCAACAGGAACCCACAATCAAGACAGCGCTCTTGGTAGCAGAAATGATTTGATCCACGCCTGGAAATGCGAATGTGCTGGCACGGTTGAGATGGCATGGATTCTTGACTGGCATTCTCCACTGAATGACAAGGATTGCCCGCGGTGGGCTCCGGATCAATAGCTGTCTCCGAAACTGCCAACCAGTCAGAGATGTCGTCATCGTCCTTGTACTCGTAGAAAATCTCGCAGAAAATCTCCTTCTTTTCCATCTCACTCATGGACCAAATCAAGATCTTGATTGCTGCCACTCGTGTCCAGGACACTAGCTTGGTGTGACTGCTCAACACCCATAAGAGCGCCACTGCAAAGGCCCCGGCAAGCGCTGATGCAACCATGTCGCGCGATCCACAAGCACTAGAATAGGGTATAAATCGCGGTCGAGCTAAAGGGGGCACTAACTCTAAGCCGCACTGTTGCTCTGAAACCCAGCCTCGTCCCTCGCCGGAACCACCGTTGTTGTTTCCCTAAATTGTAGGTTGGAGATGGATGTCGAAGGCAGCTCGAAACACCTTCCTCATCCACCGGATTCAAGATCCTACTGCATTGGGGTGGGTGTTGCCGGAAAAATATCAACAACTCAAATGAAGGGAATTCCAAGTTGAAATCCTTTCGCCCGCTCAGCCCAACCCCCAAATCCAAGTTACATTCACATATGTGTGGGATGGAAGCATTCACTGGTCCACACGGTGTCCATCTCAAACTAAACTCAAACCCGGCTCAGGGGATCCAGATCCATGGTGGTGTTAAGACTGGAATGGTGGCTGGACAATGTTTGATGCCCGCTGGACCCCACTAAAGGATATGGTTTGAGTGGATTTGTATCGCTTTACCTGGTTGCCAAGCTCACAGCTTGCTCAGCTGTGCTCAGCTGAAGATCGACTTGGTCATATGCTTTAACAAACTTAACTGTCTATGAATGAAGCTCTCGATTCCCCCGTTCACCTGAACAATATGATGACTCAAAATCCACTCAAACCCAACTCGAAATGGACTCGGCAGATGTGCAACCACTCAACCTATGAGCCTACAAGACCCAATGGAAGTGAAGGTTTTCCTTTGGATGTTTGGTATTTTTTGGTAAACCCACACAGCAAATGGTTTCGGAGTCGTGCGGCAGGAGGCTCAAATTGAGAGGACCATAAACACCCATGCCTAGTGCACCGAACACGAATTGCCTCAGAATTGACAAAAAAAGACTTGTCAAACAAGGGCTGGCTCCAAGCAACCTGCAATGGTTTGTGATCAATCGGAGTATTATTTGGGGTGTGAAGTTTTACTTCAGCACACCGAGACAATTTCGAAGGGGGTTCAACACACACTTGGAAGTTATTGACATTATATGTCAAGCGGCGGTGAACACAATTCCAAACGCAAAATAGTTATTATACAGAACACCATAGTTGAATCCATAGCCCTTGGTCATGTCGGCCGATGACCATTTCTTCTTGCACACTGGGTGAATGGAGCGGTGTGTGCTGCCAGGCCAGAGCAAGCCCTCTCAAACTCTTAGAGTTCAAAGGGTTCAATTGAGTGCTCTATGGCACTGAGCAAATTCAACACAATGGAGCCATGTTCAACTGTCGTCTTGGACAGGGCGATGTGATTCGATATATTCCATGAGGGTAGCTTCCGAAGGCCTTAGAGACTGAGGCAGTTGTGACTCAAAAAAACAATACCCATTAAACCACATCAATATTAAAATCAGTGGGCGCCGACTAAAGGATCACTACAAAATGCAATAAATAAGCTCAGGTGGCTCTGTCACACCTGCAGATGGATATCTCTTGGTGTACCTGTTGTACACCCATTGGATCACCGTCTTGAGTGCGTCTATCTCTTCGGGACATTTCATGGTTTCCCACTTCCGGCTGCAGCTGCCAAACACTTCACCTGGACCTGAAGCCAGAGTCCAATCACAAAAATGTGGTTTGTTTGTTTGTCTGTCTGTTTTTTTGTTCTGGTGTTGAACGAGATGGACGCAACCTAAAGTAAAAATGCTAAGTGCTCGTCGAGCTGACATGGGTATACGATGGAGTAGAACTTTTTGGTCGCATCACGCTTCCCACTCATGCCTGGTTCAGCTCCTCCTGCTGGTAATAGAGTGCGGAAGTCTATTGGTGTCACTTTGCTGCGCCTCGTGTGCTCTGCAGGGGCTGCGCGAGGACCAGCAGCAGCAGGTGGTTGCCGCTCATCCTCATCTGTCCCTGGCGCAGGAACCTTGGCTGACTCGGCTGGTTCTTGGTGGATGGCGCGTTCCACCTTGCTTTGGTTACGGAGCTTCTCCTGCATCAGGGGTAAATGATTTCGAGCAGGGTTGTTAAGAAAACATCGCTAACGATACTATTTGAGTTTCTTCATTTCCTGGGGTGAACTTGCTGGAAGCAAGATATCAGCTCCTGTTGAGCTCTCAATTTTTCCGCGCATTGATTGATGATGGGCTTGAAGTACGACTTATCCACATCATCGAGGCCGGCAATAAGCTCCAAAATCTCTGGTCCGATCTCGTCCTTGGTATTTGGATCGGTTTAACACTTGATGTTTTGATCTGAGTGGATTGCGGGAGGTTAGCGAGTGGAATCTGAGTGTGGCCGGGGTGACCCAGAAAGTGAAGGGGATTTTGAGGCGGCCCTGGGGACAAAAAAAACAATAGGAAATTGACTGACAAACTGTATAGGATTGCTTCATCGAGTGGTTTTCAAGGTAGCCCTAGTCAACAACAAAAGAAATCCGTCCACCACACACCATGTTTGCCTTTCGAGTGGGTTTTGAGGGAAGATTGAGGGGGTTCAGAGGTGGCCCAGAGCAACAAGTTTGCCTCTGCCCTACCTACTCCCTACATCTCCCTATCCACATGCTAATCAATAAATGCTTGTCCAGAATCCTCAGCTGTACAATCATCATCATCATCAGCAGCATTGGTCGGATCATCATCGTCCTCGGCATTCTCAGACTTTTT